TGCCTCCCTGTCCCACCCCAGGAGGGACAAGGGTAGAGCAAGTACAGGCTGCCAACCCTTCAGAAGCAGGTCTGCTGCTGAGCCAGCGTGCCCCCAGGGTTTCTGGCTTTGAGAACAGCCCTCATCTTAAAGAATGTTCCTCGTGTCCTGGGACGACATTCACAGACCGTGGTGACAGCTTCATGGGTACATGTTCACCTCCCAACTCATCCAATGGTGTACTTCAAACATGTATAGCTCTTTGTAGGCCAATCATCCCTTAATAATATGGTTATCAGCCAGGTGTTGTGGCATACGCCTATAATCCCAGCAGCTCGGGAGGCTGAGGCAGGAGGATCGTGAGTTCAAAGCCAGCCTCAGCAAAAGTGAGGCACGCTAAGCATCTCAGTGAGACCCTGTCTCTAAATACAAAATAGGGCTTGAGATATGGCTCAGTGGCCGAGTGCCCCCCAGTTCAATCCTCGGTACCAGGTGAGGTGGGGTAGGGTGGGGTGGGGGCGGGGACATGGTGTCAAAATATTCACACGTACCACGCACAGCTATGGTTGACTTTCTGTGTCTGCCTGTAGTGACCTCATGTCACAGGAGCTGCAGCCACAAGGTCCCTGCCTTCTCCCATCTCCATGTGGTACGTGAAACCTAGAAACAGCTGACCACAGCTGGCAGAAGTTCCCAGGGTGAAACAGTCACTCTCTGGGTGTCGAGCCAGCGCCTCACAGGAAACAAACGGAAGCTTGTGCCAACACGGCTGTCCCTGTGCCCTGGAGCCGGAGTCAGAGTGAGGATGTTAGGGTACACACAGACTTGACCTCAACCCCGAGTCCAACGGCCCTGCAGCCGTGACAACGGAGCGCACAAGCCTTCTGGAGTCCTGACATCCAGCACATCTGAGGAGCCTGTGGCTTCACCAAGAGTTCCCTGTATTCAGCGACGGTTAGGAAGTCGACACAGGAGCAAATTCACTGACTCTGCCAAACAGTTTCAGAAGTAAAATGTGAATAGTTCTCTGCAAAAATTTGCTTTTACAAGATCGTGCAGCGTGTGCTAACAGTTGGGGGATGAGTGGTGAGACCTCCCCAGGCCAGAGGCCAGTGCGTGGGCCACGGAGCTCTCCCAGGGCTAGGGTGGAAGCGCACTGCTGTGGTCCAGCTGTGCTCCATCCCCCAAGGCCAGTGCTGGGGCATGGCCTCAGCATGGGAGGCTGAGGTGCTGGGTCCTTGGGAGGCGGGAGAGCAGAGGCCACTGGCCTGGGAAGGGATGAGTGCCCTTCAGGAGGGTTGCTCCCGGGGCTGCACCTCATGCTGCCAAGCAAGTCCTGCTTTCAGGGCTCCCACGCTTCTTCTCTGTCCATGAGCCCCTCTTCACCTGCCTTGAGCTCCCGCCATCCGATGCCACCATCATCGTGTGTCGCAGCTGGGCTCCTTGTGGTGCTGTGTGGACCTCAGCCACTAGAACCGTGAGCCAAATGATCCTCTTGTTTTGGTAAAGTGCCCAGTCTCAGGGATTGTTATAGTGACACAAAACACATTAAGCAGGGGAAATTCTCATTTTATTATACAGAACATCAACATTTCAACATGTAACCAACTGGTATAAAAATGGAGACTTTTACGCCAAGTTTTTGTACTAAGATCTGAGTCTGCTGTGCATTAGGCCAACCAACTCCGGTGCCTTCAAAGTTAAATCTCCTCTTAAATGACCCTGTTTGCCCTGAATGACCACGATGGCTTGGAACAGAGATCTGCATTTCCTACGGTTCCTCCCAAACCAGGTCACGAACAGTGCTCAGGGAAGCAAGTGTCCAGAGCCCCGGTGGGCTCCAGGCTCCAGTGTCCCCGAGGGGGACATTACGTATGAAATAGAGAAATCAGGAATCCGACTTCTGACAAATTGTCTCTTTCAATTTTCCAAGGAAGCCACCAAACATTCTACAAAGTATTAAGAATATGCTCTCAACAAGAAAAACAATCTTTCAATGGCATTTTTCAAATATCTTGTAGCTTGGTGACAACAGCAAACTGGCCAGGCACAGATGACTCTCACTGCCAGTGTCCTGGGACTGCACACCAGCACCTGCTCCAGTCCTGGCACCAGGCTCACTGGCGCCATCTGCTGGCTTGACCCAAACCACCTTCCACTAGGGGAATTCTTAAGGACAACCAAGCTAGGCGCCACCCCATCTGGCAGTTATGTTGGCAACAGCAGACATGGGCCAGCCATGGAGCCCCCCTCTGGGCCTCAACGCTGACTACAGACAGCAAACTTTTTTGACTGTCTTACAGCTGAGGCCACTGAGGCTCAGAGGTTCCAATCACACACTCCAGGTGGCACAGTGGTGAGGGGAGGGATTTGCTGCCAGACGTCCACTCCAGGAGCATATGCAAGTGCCGAATACCACATCATCAATGTCAGCCACCCCCCTGGTCGCCCCCTCTTTGGGAGGAATGCAAAGAAACAGTTCCGCTACCGTTTGCAGGTGCGACTGAGGCCACGGGACCTCAAGAGTGCATCCTAAACCACCCAAACAATAGGCGGAGGAAAATCCCACCCACGGGTGTCAAGATCCATGACACAAAAGCAACAGAGGCACCACAGGCGGCCACCAAGCTGCCTCCAGTGGTGCTCCTCGGCAGGGTCTGGGCTCTGTTGTGGCTCTATTTTTTAGTTAAACTCCAGGTGCCACAACTATATTCACTTTGGAACTCACAGTGGACTGATTCCACCTGGAAAAGGCTGCCTGATGGCCCCGTGTTTGGGGCACATGTCAGCTCACTCCTGACAGAACCCCTCCTTCAAAGGAGACTCAAGATTTTGGTTAAACAAGGAAAAAAAGTTTCCTGAATCACTCCCAGAACTGGAGATGGGCTCCATCAAGTAGCTGAGACAGAATGATGTTGAATGACGTTGGCTGACAGACCTCTCCAGTGAGGTGACCCCAGGATGCTGTCAGCTGGCACATTTTCTCTTGTCCCAGGTCTCATCTTTGTTGTTTATTTTCATTGCATCAGTTCTTGTGTTTATGCCTGACTTTACACAAAGATCCTAGTTTTCCATGTTTTTTTTTCTATAAACTTGACATTTATTTTACATTTTAAAAAAGTTAATTGTCTTAGTTTATTTGTGTTGGTAAAAGAATACCACCAATTGGGCAATTTATAAGGAAACTTCTCAGAGTTTGGAGGTGAGGAAGAGAATTTCAAGGTGCTAGCACCTTGCTGCTTTGTCAGGCAAGGGCCCGATTGCACGCTGCAGGCAGGGAACACACTCCTCCTATTAGGAGCCATTCTCCTGGGACACCAGCACTGACCCACTTGCCAGGGCAGAGCCTCCTGACCTAGTAGTCACTTCTTCACACTTTGTTTCCTTGGGGACTAAAATTTTCAACACTTTGTTTTTTAGGGTGAATTTAAGAAAAGTAAGTGAAAAACAGGGAGGAGGTGGCTGAACGTGCACGCCTGGGAAAGCTATCATTAACTCTCCACACTCCACATGGGCAGGTGTGTGCTCTGCTCCCCCAGAGGCTCCTCTGGCATGAAGCGTGGGGCTGGGAGGCAGGGGTCAGCTGGCCCCTGGCTCCCAGACTTTCAGGTGCATGTGCCCACAGGGCACGATGGGTGGGCTTTCAGGAGGCTTCACAAGGCCACATGCCCCTGCCACTGTCCCCCACCTACGCCTCCAGACCTGCAACACTACCTCGCCTAGCACCGTCTCGCCTGCAGCTCTGGGGACCAGCCCGTGCTGACCAGCTGCCAAGGCAGTGGTGCTGCAAACCAGGGGTGAGAGGAAAGCTTGGCAGCAAGAATGGGAGAGGTGAGTCCACATTACACAAGCCCAGGGTGTCTCTGTCACATCTCTCCCCCTTCTTCTATGCTGTGAATTTTTTTAATAAAAATGTTTGAAAACATGAAATGAAAGAACTCGTCTTTTGCACGAGGCTCGGGGCTCCATAGGTGCAGCTGTTCTCAACGGGGTCATGGGTGAAGGTTCAGTGGTGGAACAACTCCTGACCTTTACCACAGCAGCCAAGGGCACCTGGCCCCTTCCATAAGTATCATACTTACCCGGCAGCTACTCAAGCAACGTTCAGTACAGGTGCCTACAGGGACGAGAAAGCTCCTCGAAGAGTCCAGGTGCATTTTAGGAAATGTGTAAGCAAATACTTTAAGAAGCTTCATGATTTCAACAAACACTGGCTCGTCACACTTTATGTTCCAGATTCTGGGTGGCAGAGACATGAGCCCTGGTGTCTAAACTAGGATTCCCACCTGTGGGCACCCAGCTCCTTCACTCTGGGTTTCTGGCAGCCCAAGTCCAATCCTGGGTTTAAGCAAATGTTTCAAACCTGCCAATTAGAAAAACTATCCCCCTTTTGATGATGTGCACGGTCCAATCCTGGAAAATGACCACTTAACAGATTCATGACTTGGACTTGTCATTTTCAACCACAGCCAGTCACTGGCTCCTTAAAGAATGATGAAACTTAAAAAGAATGATGCACCAAGTTAAAGCTGACAAGTCCCAAGTAAAGCTGGCCATGGAGATGATCAAGCTTGGTTCTCTCCACACAATCTCTGCTTCCTGCTCCATCTTCACATATATATAGGGCCATAAAACCACAGGGCTGATTCACACAGGGAAGAATTAGCTCTGAATAGTTAACTTGAGAATAACAGGTTTCTTTTGATACCTGGGAATGAACCCAGGGGCCTTAACCACTGAGACACATTCCCAGCCCTTTTTAATATTTTATTTAGAGCCAGGTTCTTGCTGGGTTGCTTAGAGTCTCGGTAAGTTGCTGAGGCTGGCTTTGAACTTGTGACCCTCCTGCCTCAGCCTCCTGAGCTGTTGGGATTATAGGCATGGCCACCATGCCCTGTGTGCCTACTTTTTTACTCACTAAAAAATAAAATTTGCAGGCTGAAAAACAGGGGCCAAGAGTTAACAGGTCTAATTTATTCATGATCTACAAAGAATTTAAAGCATGGATTACAGGCAAACTCTTTTGGCAGCAAACTTTATTTCTACTGCTGCTTCTGAACAGGTAAATCCATCTTGGAACAGTACTGATGTCAGATCTCCACAGTCAGCAACCCCAAAGCAACATTGCATTCGCAGTGCTTGGAACCATAGGGTACAACAGCCTTAAACAACAAACACCGAGTTTCATTTTGGATACTTACCAGTCAGGGCATTTCCAGAGTGAAAGAGTAACTCTCAACATAACCACCACTGGGGGATAAGTTCAGAGCAATTCCCACGGAGGGGACCTGGTTTTAACCTGAAGACCACACAAATGCCACCCATCTGGGCCTTACAAGGCAGCCCCCCAAAGTCCTGTCTCTTAGGAAGAGGACAGTTCCCACTTCAGAATGGCCAGGAAACTACCCAGTAGAGCCGGGGAGCACTGGGAATGCTAAAGGGAAGCAAAAGGAAAACCATTCCACTCTGCTTGCCAACACATGGAGGGACTAGGACATGCCACAGGGCAGGGGTGATCACAGCTCGGGATTCATTCTCTAAGGTGCGAGATTTCTGCATTTCCCAAGATGGGTGAAAATAACTCACAGCCCAGTGTTGATGCTGAGCAGGATAATCACTGCTGAGGACTCAGGGCAGGCAGGACAGGGGAGAAGGACAGAAAGAGCTAGCGGCAACCTTCAAAATATTTTATTACAAAATACAATACAGAGTTGATACTTGGTTTCCCCAAATTCTCTAACACATATGCTGCTGAAGGAAGCACAGTAAAATACCTGGCACTGCCCACAAGACTCTAACTTCTATAATAATTTTGTTCCCCTTAGAGTTATAAGAAAACTCTGCAGCAAGTAGTGGAACAGAGGCGGCAAGTTGCCGTGGACAGCCGGGCTGCCTGCTCAGCAGTGACCTGTTTCCTCCAGGGGTTGGAATCCACGTCCATGGCCGAGGTGCCCATAGCTGGGGCCCTCAGAGCAGAGAGAAAACAACTCTGGACAACCAGAAGTCTCAGGTTGCTACTTCTTATTCCTGGGCTTTAGCTCTTCAGCTGCATTACGCAGGAAAATGTAATTTTTCTTTTGGGGATTATAAAACTCGTGTCCCTAAAGAGGAAAAAAACACAAGGTTCTTCTTACTAAAAGAAAGCAGTCAACTTCTGTGACCCTTTTTATATGCTGGTTCCTGTGCTAAGTGCTAGAAGCAAAACCTCCCTGGAACAGAACAAACCAAGGTAGAGAGAAGGAGAAGTCACGTGTTAAAAGCTTTAGTCCTCAGAGAGAAGGCTAAGGGCCTGGTTCAGGTCCTTCCGCAGCGTCCCACATAACTACGGGCAATACCACTGTACCCTCGAGTCAAGATAGCTCTGACCTAAGGGAGGGTGCAGCTGGCCCTGGGCAGCTGAGAAAAGCAGGGGTCCCAGGGTTGTGTGCCTGTTGGGGTGGGGGAGACACACTGCCTGGGGCTTGGAATGCGAGACGAGCACTTTGAACATCACCCCACAGGAAGGAATGGCAGCTGCCAGACTGTCAAGAGGTCAGGGACAGCAGATCCAACCTTTAGATAGAGCCAAGCGGGAGGGCAAGGCAGGCGACTATGAAGAAAGCACGTGAGCACAGGCCTGGGAGAGACAGGTGGTCACAACTCACAATCTCTGCCACTTGTGCTGCAATGACATCCCAACAGGTATGCTTAGAAAGTTCTGGATGTTCACCATAACATAAAATGAAGCTTTCTGAATGGCTACAGTCAAGCAGCAAGCTAATATTAATAGTGCTTGAGCTAAGAACTACAGAAAACTCCTGAGGTGGTGTTTTTATAACTTGACTGTGACCTATGCAACCCACTGTGAGCTGACATTAACTGCCTGGACGAATTGCATCACAGTTTTTAAGGAGCACTCAAAGCAGATAAGCCTTCTCACTTTACTACTTTTTTAAATGTTTGTACGGCGTGCAGAGCCCTGAGTGTGGCTTAAGGAGCAGCTGTGATGCAGCTGCTGGGCTAGGCACGGGAGACTCAGAGCAGAGCCCATGGCCAGGGCTAGGGGTCTTCAGACCCCAACTTCAGCCAGGTGGAGCAGCCAGTCCACATTCTTGCAAAGCTGAAGCTGTGGTTAGAGGGATGGCGGTGTGTCCACAACATGGAACATTACTTGGCATGGGAAATGAAAGAATTAGTGATGTGACATGTGCCAACAGCACAGTGCATTTCAAAACCTTGAAGCTGGGTAAAAGAAGCCGGGAGAAAAGAGTGCGTGGTGTGTGACTCTTATTACAAGAAATCCTAGAATGTGCATGTGGGTCTACAGTGACAGAAAGCAGATCCAGAGCTCTGTGTGCAGGGGGGAGGAGTCAGCACACAGGTGGAGACCTTGGGGGAAGATGGCATACTCATTATCTTGACAGGTGGTTTCAGAGGCATTTACAGACGTCGAAACTGATCAAACTGTGCACTTTAAACGCATGCTGCGTGCTCCACTTCAATCACACCAATAAGGTTACTTTAAAAAAAAAAAAAAAGCCCAAAGAGGGGACACACACAGGCTAGCCATGTGAAGAGACAGAACCTGTCACTGCCCAGCTCTTCTGAGGAGGCAAAACTAAGGTGACCTCAGGAGCACCAGTGGGTGCAGCTGGCCGGGCTGAGATCAGTGCTGTGGGGAGAGAGGTTAGCAGCCATGTGGGAACCAAGGAGCCTCAGGTGCACAAGGCCAGGGCTGGGGCCTCGGGCATGCAGGAGCACCTCAAGAACCTGGCCGAGGCGGGAAGAAGGCTGGCAAAACAGGCCCAATCAGCGGTAGGAAGAGGGACACAGCAGCAAAGAGCGCAGCAGAGAGGCCGAGGGAGGAGCATGTGCACCACTGTGCCCGACATAGAAAGCAGCTTCTGGTGGACAAGGAAGGAGTCCAGGAAGGGATAGAAAGGAACAGAATGGGGAACGTGGAGGCAAGTGGCGAGGGTGGAGGGAGCTGGAGATGGGTAAGGGAGATGGAGGCTGGTGACCTCCCTGCCAGGAGCAAGGGTCAGGTGGCAAAGGGCTCAAAAGCTGCTCTGCAGCAGAGAGGTGAGAGGCGAGAGGGGAGAGGCGAGGCGAGAGGTAAGGGAGACAGAACCATGAGCTGTGGGGCTGCGCTCTCCAAAGCCGACAGGAGCAGGCAGGGAGGCCAGCATGCCACCGCTCCTTCCCCTGTGGGACGCAGCCCTGGCCTGCGATTCACCACCAAACTTGATGCCTGGAAAGGCAGGTGGAACCCTAACAGCTCCTGACTTCTCTTGCCAAGGAGCAAACCACCAGGGCCGTCCAGGTGACAGCTCCATGCCCTGGCCTATGACCCTTCCAGAAACCACAGGAACCACCCCAGCTCCCAGACACCAGCCTCCTGCATGCCCAGGCCTCTATGCTTAAGGAGAGGGCAGCTGGCGACGGCCTACACTGGCGGAGCACCTCTGGGTGGGTCTGACTAAAGCCTCCACTGCACCCACACTGCCTTAAAGGCAGGCCTACGAGTTCCCCTGACAGGGAGGTGACAGGATCTTCCCAAGGGGACAACAGCAACTCTGGAGAACAAAGTCACAGCTCAAGTGCAGGCCTTGGTCAAAGCCTGCCTCTGTTGCCTTACAGCACGGGGAGCAGGCGGGCACCCTCACCTTGGACCAATCATAGCTGGAAGCGTAAGCAAATATGTTCCCGTTGTGGTTGAAGCAGCAGGCGGATATTGGCTGATCTAACTGCTCGGAAGTCTTCAGCTTTGTTCTGGCGTCTTTGTCCCAGAAGCTGAACCTCCCATCGGATCCCACGGTTGCCAGGGTGCCATGAACAGGATGGAATGCGATTCCATTTACCTGCAGAAGACGACACACAGTGAGAGCAGAGGCAGGCGCAGGGAGAAGCAGGTCCGTGCCAGCACCTGCTTCCTGCAGGAATAAGAAGGCAGAAGACGTCCCTCACTCCCAAAGTCTCCTGAACCAACTGCTAGCACAGAGCTAAACCCTGCCCGGCTCCAGGGCACAGAACTGACGTGTGCATCCACTAGGAGCACCACAGGGCGCATCTCAGGAAAGTGCCTTTCTTCTTTATCAGTGAAGAGCAATTTGTTATTGGCTGTGTGTGTGAAAACTGTTGACCAGCACCCTCTCATGAAGAAGGTATGAGACACTTCCCCAAATGTCTCAAGCCTGCATTTCAAAACAGACTAAGAACAAATCAGACTATACGTTCATAAAAACAGAAAACTGAAACCAATGCAGAAGCCATTTACCCCCAGAGAACACATAAGAGGCTCCTCAGTGCTCTTGGGATGTGTCCTTTCTGACCCTGTAATCACTGGTGAGCCCACTACAGGTCTGGATTCTACATGTCAAAGTTAAGTTTCTAGAGACATACCGCATAGATGTCCTGTGGAGCTGAAGTATTGGTTCCATTGGATCGATGACATTTAAAGGTGAAGTTATCTTTGGCACTGAAAAACAAAGGCACATGTAAGTCTTCCCTTTAAAAAATAAATCTTGAGTGAAATTTCCAGTTGACTGAATTCCACTTACGGATTTGGGGGGTTGATGTAATGAATAGCAACTCTCCCCTCGATGCTCCCCAGGGCAAAGCCAGTCGGCTTGTTCTGTTTGTCTTTAAAAATAGCCACACAACGATGCTAAAGTTTGGGGAAAAAAAAAAAGTACATTACCACTATGTAAATGTAAGACAATCACCAGAAACCTCACTCTGCCATGATGAAGGCATTCCTGCACCGTTAGCACTGCTTTCTAACTTCTAAACTGCCACGCGATTCTGTGACCCAACTGTACAACTAACTGCAACTGTCCCTTCTCCCTCTGCCACCCTGGGAAGCCATATTCTCCCCAGTGGAGCACACTGGGGATGCTGGTCGATGCAGGCACTGGCCCTGCTGGGCTGGCAGGTGCTCCCTTGGATCAGCAGCCATCACCAGCTAGGCCAGTGCCCCACAGCCGTGTATGTACTGCTATGACCTGTGTTTGTGTGGCTCCTCTTCTCCAGCTGGGCAGCAGTGCTGGCCAGGTCCACCTCAGGGGACAACAGGGTGGAGACAGCAGACAGGACAGCATTTGATATATAAACTGAACATGCTACACAGTGACACAGCATTCTATTCTTTATCTCAATGAACTTGACCATTTTAGGCTATTATCAAAAAATGAGAAATGCTGGTCCGGGTGTGAGGTAAAGGCACCTCATGCACTGCTGCAGGGAACATAAACTAACACAGCCACTATGGAAGGCAGACGGAGGCCGCTTAAAAACAAAGACTGTAACTATCACGTGCTCCAGCTATACCGCTGCTGCGATCTATCCAAGAGAAATGACGTCCACATGCAGAACCATCCCAGAGCTGCCACGTTTCCTGCAGCACTACTACTAGTGGCCGAGACAAGAATCGGCCGCAGTGCCTATCACCCAAGGAATGAAGAAAACATAGCATGTGAAAAGTAGTCAACCATGAAGAACGAAATCACGACAGAAGGACTCGAGGACAGCATGGTAAATGAAATGAGCCAGACGTAGGAAGACAAGCATCATATCCTTTAATAAGGCAGGTGGGCATGATCAAAGCATAGCATGTGCATGTATGGAAACATCACAGTGAAACGCATTAATGTGAACAATTAATATGTTAATAATTATGGTTTTTCATCAAGCAGATCCCACAGAAGCTGCCAGGAGAGATGTAGTTCCCAGAGGCTGAGGGGAGGGGGAACCCTGATGTGTATGCACTGCTACGAGCGTTAGAAGGCAGAAGCTGGGGTGTGCTACTGCGCAGCAGGTGACCACAGAGGCCACTGTGCTGCATCTCAGGAAGCCAGGGAGATGCTGGAGGATCTTACGTAAAGGAACAATGTGTGAAGACAGCACATCCTCCAGGCTCATCATGCTGTCACCACGGCAGTTCGCCCTCCTTCTCCGGTGGCTGAAGAGTACTCACAGCATGCACACCGCATTTCCTGCAGCCACTCACTTGGCTGGTGACTATGGCAGTGAATATTACAGCTTGAATCCTGGCCTCAGGGTTGTAGGTGAGCACTCAGGGGCCAGACCACCAGGTTCTGCAGTGCTGACTCCACCGTGGTTTCTCCACCCTGCAGCCTTGCAGGAGTGCACGGGGCTCCACGTCTCCAGGTCCTTGCTGACTCGTCTTTTCACATTTTGGTAACTGTGGTCCCAAAGGTGTGAGGGGATGCCTCACAGTGCTCTTACTTGCATTTCCCAGTGAGAAGCCATAGTGGTCACCTTTCCCATACTCGCTGACCACGTGCATGTCTTTTCTGGAGCAATGTCCACTTAAGACTCAGTCCAAACCGGGGCAATTTTTTTTTTTTTTTTTTTTTTGCTTCGAGTTGCATGAGTTCCTCACACATTCTGGAACGTTACCCTGGACAGATACGTAACCGGCAGACGTCTTCTCCCACTGGTAGGTGCCTTCTTACACGATTGCTTCTTTTGCTGCACAGAAGCTTTCTGATTTGTAGATGTTCATTTTTTTTTTTTTTTGCTTTTGTTCCCTATATTTTTGGTGTAACACACCCAAGAAATTACTGCCAAGCCAATGTCATAAAGTTTTGATCTAAGTGCTAAGAAGACTTGGATCAAATATGGTGGTAGAAGGGAGAGAAAAGAACAGATTCTACATAGTTCCCAGGTGGAAGTAAGGGAGCCTGGTGATAAATGAGATAGGAGAGGAGAAAAGGAAGGAGGGTGAATCAAGAATGACTTCTAGTTCCATCTCAGACAACCAAGCAAATGAAGTCCCACCTAATGAGATGTGGAACAAGTGCATCAGGAAGAACAGGAAGGAGTGGTGGAAGGGGCAGGTCCAGACCTGCCGGTGTTTACATGTATACACACGCACCATGGCACTGAGGGCCACAGCTAAGGAGAATCCCAGAGAGGAAAATATTTGAAAAGCAATGCAGAAAGGGGTCCTGGGTTTGGAGAGGGTGCTGCTGGATGGGGACCTCTGGGAGAAACAAGGGAGCTACCGGAGTGTGGGTGTCGTTGTCGGGAGCATAGTAGCAGGGTCTGCTGGGGACCCACATCTCTAGCCTGCAAGCATGACTGTGGACAGTGACGAATGGGAGATGAGTCTGGCTTGGAAGGCGGTCGCACAGGCAGAAGAGGGGGGATCTCAACATTCAGCAAAGAGCCAACAAGGAAGAGGCTGGCAGCACAGAGCCAAGGCCCAGTGGCTCATGAGCAGACCTAAGCAGGGGTCACACCAGAGTTTCAGTTAAGTCATCAGTTAAGTTTGGAAGGGGCAAACACAGGCCATGCTACACACCTGACCACGAAAGGAAACAAGTGTGCAGGTGAGCTGTAGGACAGGGGTCAGGGAGATCTGTGTGGAGGGACGCACAGGCTTGGGCACCCTTTGGTGAAGAACTAAGAGCCAGAAGCTACCGGACAGTGAAAATAGATCATCTTTCCTGCTAAGCTGCAGGGCAAGGGGTGCTACCATAGAACTGGCCTAAGAACCCCACCTGACAGGGGAGGCAGGGAAGAATGAAGGTTCACAGACTCGCAAATCCAGCAGGAGGAAGACAAGGACCCTCCTTTATTCTCTGAACAGGAGAATTCAATCACTGAGACAAAGGCTAAAGGGAGCCTAAGGAGAGCAAAGCAGGCCCAGTAGTCCTGTGGCCAGTGGGAAGATGAAGCCGCTGCATACAGTGTGGCTGCCCCTACTTTGGAAAGGCTGGCAGTTACTTCTAGGGATTTAAGGAGACACAGTCTTTGGTGAGTACAAAAGCTGGAGGGGCCCTTGCAACCACGCACGCACGATGAAGGCAGAGCTGAGGCTGGAAGTGATGAACTGCCCGGGAGCCAACCCAGCAGGTGTGTGGTTTATTCAGCAGCACTTGGCCACCCACAGAAGACAGGTGAGGGGCTCACCAACGGATGGGTGGCTTTTACTCACCAAACATCTGTTTCCTTAAACTTACTCCCTAGGTAACTTCCAGGCTTTTAAAGTAGATACAGTTTTCCTCTATGCAGCACCATCCTGCACACAGCAGTGCTCAACACGTGCTTCCTCACGGGCTTCCGCTTACCTGGTGCTTCAGTGGAGATTCTATCCTCCTGAATTCAGAGGGCTGGTTCTCTAACTGATACACGATCAGGCCCCTCTCTGCAGTCGCCACCACGGCCATTGGGTAGATCTAGGGAATGGAGGGAAACAGACACTGAACAGGAAGGAGCGGGCTTTTCTAGTCACAAAAACTTCAACTTCTTAAAAGTTTAACTATTCAATGGCATCAATGTTTCACAAAAACCTAGAGAAACTATCTGTAGGCAGAACATTCATATATATTTAAGCCTCGTTTTTAAAACCGTAAAATATGTGAACATTTAGGAAATATTCTGAGGAACTGAGAAGAAATGAAAATCACCTACACCAGGCCTTCAAAAGCTCACAGCTAACACCACGGCACACTCAACTCCAGTCTTCTGAGCCTTGTGTGTCTACACTGTGCTGTGAAACCCGTGTCCTCCACTCAAGCTGTGCTTTATGAGCATCGGTGAGGAACTCACATTTATCCGAGAACATCACAGTGGCTGCCTCGTGTTCCCTCAAACATGCCACAGCTCAGGGGGTGTGGTTAACTATGCCCACCATGTAGGTCCACCGGTCACTTTTGATGTTTCACTACATTATGTCAAGGGAAGACCATTTGTACCCATCATTTTTCTCATGATAAATTCCTAAAAAGTGGAATTTCTGGGACACTTGGTATAAAACTTTGGCTCTTGACTAACAGATGAAAAAGCACCTCGGTTTCCATCTCAGAGACAGGACTGTGAAAACTGGAATCACATCACAAAATAACCACAAGTTTTGCTACCATTTCACAACAAATTCACAGTAGGATGGCACATATCTAGCTGCATATGTTTAAAAAGTGACCATCAGTATTTAGGAGTTCTGAACAAATGCAACCCCTAAACCAATTTAGGTGACTAGGGTAATTTGAACTATATCCCTCCCTGTATCTATTAATAAAGGAGAATTTTTCAATTACCTACTAATTGCAGGATGCCAGAAGGAAAAAAATGCTTTTTTTTTTTTTGGTGGTGGTGAGGTACCAGGGTTTGAACTCAGAGGCACTCGACCACTGAGCCATATCCCCAACCTCATTTTGTATTTTCTTTAGAGACAGGGTCTCAATGAGTTGCTTAGCGCCTCGCTATTCCTGAGGCTGGCTTTGAACTCAAGATCCACCTGTCTCAGCCTCCTGAGCTGCTGAGATTACAGGTGTGAGCCACTGTGCCCAGTGCTATTTTGCTATTTTAAAGAAAATAAAATTCCTTACCACATCGGCACAGTAACACCTCTCAGGGAGCTGCAAGACCATCATGGGAGTTGATGACCGGGTATCCCAAAACTAAAAGCCAAAAGGAGCACTGTGTGAGTGTTCAAGCTGAAATCTACCCAGGGAAGAATTAGGTCTGCCATACCGGGGCCATACCCTCCCTCTTGCATACTGCACCTTCAGAGTCTTATCCCAGCTCCCGGTCATCACGCAGCTATAGTTTGGAGCTTTGATCCAATGTATGGTCTTAACAGGTGCATCATGCTTTCAACAAGACAAAAAACAAGCAGATCAATGTAACATAACAATGTGCTCAACACTTCTAGAGATTCGCAGAAAAGGAACTAATTATCAAAGAATATTTCAGTGTTTCCCCAGGACCAAAAGTAGTCCATCTGACACAAGAGCATATACCCACCTTCCATTTTACAAACTTCAATTTGACTCACTGATAACTAAGAGTGACAGCATGGCCCTCCTTGGGGAGATATGCAGAAATGGCTAGTGAGAACCACGCCAGTTTTACACATGTACCAAGGAGAGATGGAGAGGCCCCAGCATGTGGCACTGGGACTTCAGTACATGATGCTGTCCTGAAAACATCGCGATTGCCAAGAGGCTCTGTGAATGCCCCTAGGCAGGCCCTGAAGCTGCAGGTTGCCTGCCTTCATGACTACTGCTGCCCTTTCCTGGCATTCTTCATGGGAGAACCTGCCTGCTACAAAAGCTAGACATGCTACAAAAGCTCTGTGGGCATGTGGAGGTGTCCCGCTTACTTGAGGCAGTATTTCCAGACCCTGAAGACAGTGCCTGGCACATGGCCACTCAGTAAACACCTGAAGAACAAGCGAGCCAACGCAGCTGGTGAAAGACAAGTCACACACAGGTGTGGGGAGGCCACATGGCCATGCTGAGGAACACTTCTAGCCCTTGTCTTTATAGGTTTTAATGCCACTAACTCCTGATGGCACCACCCACACATACAGGGAAGACACATGCAAAAGGCTCTAGGAAAATACTACGAACAAGAAAAAATGGCCAAAAAACATTATTTTTATGCTAAGAACTTTCTAGTACACTTAAATCTGATTGACTTTGTACACTCTCGTTGTTCTTTTCTATAGCAGGGAATTATTACAATCATCACAACCCTGGGCAGCAGTCCTATCCTGCTGATTTGCAAAGGGCTTATGTTACCTGTGCAATCTGTATTGCCTGGTTACTATTGAGGTCCCACATTTTGGCAGTTTTATCACATGATGCTGTAAATACTTTGCTCCCATCCTAAAATAAAATGGAGAAAAATTAAATCTATGTAAATTCAGATAGTAGGTTGAACATTTGTTTTCCAATTTTTATTTTTCCAATTATTTGGGGGCCACCATACTGCAAGCCACAGTATCATAAACAAAACACACTTTCAGCTCTAACTTTATATTTTATTGACCTAAGAAATAATATATAAATAGAATATTTTAAAAATCCACCAAATAACACTTAAAAGTTATATAATGAAAACTAAATCTCATCCCTCAAAGGCAACTTTGGTCTACTTTTAAAATCTTTTCTATTTGAGAAATTTAAGCCTTCAGAAAAATTACAATAATAATACAAAGTGTTCCAGCATAGGGGTGCACGCCTGGAACCCCAGCAACTTACAAAGCTGAGGTAGGAGGACCACAAGTTTGAGGCCAGCCTGGCAACTTAGTGAGACCCTGTCTCAAAATTAAAAACAAAAACAAAAACAAGGGGAAGGGATACAGCTCAGTGGTCCCCAATGCCAGAAAAATAAATAAATGTAAACATTTCACCAAGATTCACCAACTGTAAACATATGCCACACTTACTCCGCCTGCCCCCACCCAGAGCATGTACACACACACACACACACACACACACACACACACACACACACACACAGAGTTAGCTTGTTCAGCTCTATGTCTAATGGCACTCCAAAGTATGTGTGATAAAACTACACTAATTTATAAGAATCGCTGGTATAAAGTGCAAACTAGCTCAAAACATCAGCAGTCACTGACTAATGATAAACTAAGAAACAGAAGCCATGGAGCAGGCCTACCCTAGCACTGCTTAAAAGAGCTACGTGCATCTGTGGTGAATGCATGAGGCTGGGCTCAATTAAAGTGCACTCACAGGAGCAGGCAAGGCCTGATCGGGCTCACGGCCAAAGTCTGCTAACCCCTGGCCTAGGCTATTTCACTTCTGGTGTCAAAGCCCACAGACTTTCCACTCTTCCTTGGCAAAAATTTCTCCCCTTTGAAGCCACCACTTCTCCATCTGAAAAAGAGGTGAAGCCTGTCCCTCATTCCATGAATGAATTTACAGTGGTGACACCATAAACCTTAGATGCAGAGCAATCTGATTGACTAGACAGGAACACCTCACACACGGATCCCAGCTCAGCAATGAAGAGGAGGAAGTGATGCCCCCACCTGGATGACCTCCGAAGCAGCAGACTGAGGGAGAGGCTAGACTTACAGTTTCCAGTCTGTACAATCCCATGTATATGACATTCTTAGAAAGCAAAACATATGGGGACAGAAAATAGATCAGTGGTTTTCAGGAGCTGAGAGCTGGGAAGGATCTGACCACAGAAGGGCAGGAGGGCATCTGGGGCTAAGGGATTGTTCCTCAACTGAACGTGGTCTTTGTTCCTCAAAACAATGCTAGACCTCAAAGGTTCAGTTTTACTATATACCTAATAAGTAAATGTCTGAAAATAACCTAATAAATCTGGTCAGAAAAGACAGGAACAAAGCCTGGAAAGGGCCTGGAGGCCTGGCTTCCTTAGCGTCATGTACACGTGCCTCTTGCTTCTGCTGGGTTCAGGAACCAGGCAGCAGGGGCAGGAGAACGGGCAAGTGCCAACCTGCTGCCGAGGTGGCCAGCCCTCCACAGCAGCAGCTCCTCCAGAGCTCAGCTGTCCCTCCCAGGGAACAGCACAGGTGCCTTGCCTCCCATCTGTTGCCTTGCCAATGGTCCCTTCATCACTACGCTCTCCTCAAATATGAAAAGAGGGAAAAAAGAAAAATAAGAAAAAAAATATGAAAAATAAGAAAAAAGAAAAGCTCAGAATAAATGTGTGCAAGTGCTTATATTCAGGATCTTAGGAGGAGAAAGAAGTTTAAAACTGATACAATTCAAATATCTAATAACAGAAAGTATTCTTTTTTCCCCTCTAGGTATTTCTGGAATAATAAAATTTCTGATTTTAAAACATACACTTAGGGCTGGGGTTATGGCTCAGGGGTACAGTGCTCGCCTGGCACGTGTGAGGCACTGGGCTCGATCCTCAGCACCACATAAAGATAAAGGTATTTTGTCCGCTTACAACTAAAAAAATATATTAAAATAAAAAAATCCCATAAGCTTATGGTGTATTTAGATACAGGAAAGGTTTCAAGAAATGATATAATTTCTTGCTCCAGGTAACATTTCAACAAAACAGCCAGGCGCGGTGGCACACACTGTAATCACAGTGGCTCTAGAGGCTGAGGCAGGAGGATCATGAGTTCAAAGCCAGCCTCAGAAATGGTGAGGCCCTAAACAACTCAGTGAGACCCTGTCTTTAAATAAAATGCAAAACAGGGCTGGGGATGTGGTTCAGTGGTTAAGTGCCCCCGAGTTCAATCCCTTATACCCCCTCCCAAACAAAACAAACATATCAACAAAATAAATGGCTTTAATGCAAGCAAAGCTTCCAGAGAGAGTATCTAACTGAAGCTAACATTAAGAGTGGCAATGAATTACTATTCACTGTTCAGTGCCATCAAGCATATCAGATGCGGGACACTTGACTTGTGTTTGTGTTATAAACTATTGTGTGTCACACAGCACTCTATGTAGAAGAGAATATGGGAGATGGATTGGAACATACATCACTCCAGCAGACGTCTAACACGGGTCCAGTGTGCATCTGCTGGGCTTTTGGAATGGTCTGCCCACTGTCCTGAACTTCCCAGCAGCGAACCTGTAAGAACAAGACCAATTAAAGCAGTAGAAGCACTGTTATCCAGGAATGATGGGGTACGATTTTTTAATTAATTAATTTGTTCTAATTTGCAAAGAGATTGGTTAATAGTTCATAGTGTCTTTCTTTCTTTTTTTTTTGGGGGGGGGGAGGTGCTGGGAATTGAACCCAGGGCCTTGTGCATGCAAGGCAAGCATTCAACCTACTGAGCTATATCTGCAGCCCCCTATAATTTATACAAACTCCTCTATTAGTCTAATCATGTAACTTTTAAGAACAAAGCCATCAAAATGCATATAGAAGGAGCTATTTTCCTACTTCTAAGCTATTAAAATATACAAATCCTATTGCTTACATCTAAAACTGCAAGTAATTTCCTCATCACATATATGAGATATCTTTTAAAGCAGAAGTAGAGGCCCACTCTTGTAATCCCAGCTACTTGGGAGGGTGAGGCAGAAGAAAAGAAAGCTCAAGGTCAACCCTAGGCAACTTAGTGAGACCTTGTCTCAAAATAAAAAGGGGTGGGATATAGCTGAGTGGTACAGAGGCTGTGGTCCAATACCCAGTTTTACAAAACTAAATACATAATGTATAAATAAGAATAGACTATCAATCATAACTATTTTGAAAATCAAAACTTAAGTAGAAATTTACCTTTCTACTCTGAATGCTTTAACTTTTACCTCACTTTTCTGTTTATAAAAGTAATGCAATTTACTTGGAGATGTCATAAATATGACTCCTAGTTCACAATTGGGATGTAGCTCAGGGATAGAGTGCTTGCCTAGCATGTATGAGGTCTTGGGTTCAATCTCTAAGCACCACAAAAAAAACAACCAATCAAAAAGCACACCACTCTTTACAAAAACTACATATAAACTTGCCCAACCTTGACTTCTCTCCTCCCTAGTCCTTCCCTCATCCCCCACCTGCCCCATCTCCGCGCTGTAAGCCAGTTTGCTCTTCCAGAAACCTTGAAAGTGGTATTCCATCCGTTGAGCACATAATTGTCACCACTGCTGAAGGCAAAACCTTTCACATCTTCACTGGCACAAAGTCAATCTTTAATGAGGTACTGTCAGGCAGCAGTGACACAGCCCTGAGCTCCCTGTGCACCCTGGCTGACCACTCGTGGAAAACAGGCCAGTTGTTCTGCTTCCTAAGCCTCAGCATTCTGACTCATAACATGGACACAATAAGCACACAGAGCTTCTCTATGTAAGGACTAATTCCTTATCAGATTTCCTTCTCAAGTCCTAGGACAATCAATGGGACTTAAGGATCTCTGAGAAATACTGCCAATTACTACCCAGAATGTACCAATTTGCATACTACTAGCAGTACAAGAAAGGCTGAAGCTTACCCTTGCCAGTACTATTAGTCTTTAAAATGTTTTGTTGGGTAGAAAAAAAGAATTTATCATGTAAATCTGTCTCTTAGTGATATAAATGTGGCTAAATGGTTTCAGTTTACTCCTTTTGTGAAGACCCTCTTCATATCCTGTGCTTACTTTTCTACTAACTTTTATCATTCTTTTTTGGACATTATAATTAATCTTTCTTTCTGTACACAATGGATAATTATGTCTCTGCAGGATTGGTGCTATCATCTAAAGTTGAACACAGACCTGAAGCACTTTCAGGACACCAAGAAAGAAACTGTGTGCATCAACGTGGGTAACATTCTTCTCAGTGAATGGTACTCTTGGCTTGGGAATATGCTTTAACATACTGGACTAGAGTAGGAAATTTTGAGCAATGCATAATGATATCTCCATTCAGAAGGCTTCACAGTTTCTATGCCAGTTTCTTGAAAAAGACCATGTATATAAGTCTTAGTTCTGATCCACTCACTTGGTACAGATTGGAGTTAAGGAAAAGCCAATTTTATCCATACCAAGATAGGATTAGAGAAGATGCACTTAAGAAGCACTCACATCATTAGCCCACGATCCTGCAATAAGAAAGTTCCCCGGTAAGGTTGGTGGGCTAAAAGACAGACAGCCGATGCTATCATCAGGAGAAGATGTTACTTCAATATCCTGGGGAGGGAAAGTCAATATTAAAATGTACACATCATCACAATGTCAAAACTGCTTTCTTTCTCACTGAACTTGCCATGGTGGACTTTCCTTGTCTCAAGAACTTAGACCTTCCCTTACTTTGATCAAATAAGCCAAGGAAAGTACTAAGCCCTCTGGGACTATAAACAGCACACTAAATGAAAGACCCCAAACCTTTTCTACATGGTGGCCCCCAGTTCACTCTTGCTCCAAGTGATCCTTCACATCTATTACCTACCTCCCACCCCACAGAAATGCTGATCCAATAGTCCTCAGCTTGGCCCTGAGAATCTGTACTTCTCACAGGCACCTGGGTGATTATAAAGACCTGACAAGTCAAGAGGAACCGGACACTAGGCCAGGATTCAGGTATTTCTGGGCTCCAAGGTTCAGGAAAACTGGGCTAGACAAAATTCCAGAGCTTTCATTCCAAAGGAGTATCCCCAGCCATTTGTTTCTCCTGAGGTCACAGATGTAGGAAACCCTGTGAGGCCTCATGCAGTACCTTCATAGGGTTGTGATTGTCTGTGGTTGTGCTGCCAAACATGCTGGTCCCGCCAGTTCCAAAACCTGAGGTTGTTCCGAACAGACTCATTTTGTGTCTAAACAATAAAATGCAACATGTTAAGGATAGGTCCTTTCTTAAGCAATAAAATCCACTAAGAGGCAATATATAAAGATCTTAAGTCACAGAAAGAAAATAGTGGATTCATGCCAGGCTCCTCTCTTCAGAAGAGATCTAAAAATGCAATAAGTGGACTAAGCTTTATGAGGGGCACAGGGGCACACACCTATAATCCCAATGGCTCGGGATGCTGAGGCAGAAAGACTGCAAATTTAAAGGCAGCCTCAGCAAAAGGCAAGGTCTTACACAACTGAGTGAAACCCTGTCCCTAAATAAAATATGTGGCTCAGTGCCTCTTAGTTCAATCCCCAGTAACCCCCCCCCCAACAAAAAAACCCTTCTATTTGAGAACAGTTTAAGATTTAGAGAAAACCAAAAAGACAGGAAAATTTCCATATGCCTCACATCCAGTTTCCCCTATTCTTGGTATCTGATAGAGTATGACACATTTGTCACCACTAATGAACCAATACTGACATGGTACACCAGGACAGTTTTCAGTTACCAGCTAGGATATAAATCTGCTCATTTAAATAGTCAGAGACACTAAGCTCCACACCAGAGATACACAACAGAAAGGACAGAAGATCCCCACGTTTCAGTTCCCCATCTGGGGGGAGTTCACTTTCTTCCCAGTGCTGTGCTCTGGTCAGGTCAACATCTGCATGAAGTCACCTAGAAAAACAACCAGTCCTAGAAGGGACTCAACAACTATATTTAGTGGTTTTTAAAAAGTAATCTACTTTGGTCCACTTGAATTCCAAAAGGTTTGGCATTAGGTCACAGACATATACCTAGAAGAATCTCCACTGAGTTTTTTCCAGGGCATAACTAGCAGGCCCACCAGAGTCTGAATAGAACCTCTGCCACTCAGATTAAGCTGGAACCTTAATCTCACCAGGCCTCATTTTTCTCACTGCAAACAGAGAAAAAATATTGTATATTCTCCAGGTCTGCAAGATGGATCAAATCAGAATTTGCAGAAAGTGTAGTGCCTAGCACATACTAAGTACAATAAGCAGTTTTTCCTTCTTTTTCTTCCTTTCTAAGGAGAAAGTCTATGCATAATTTCCTAAAGATTTCACATACTTTGATACTATGTTTTCAATTGGTTAGCAAATCTTTACATTCAGAAGTCTACCACATCAGTCATCTCTCCAAAAGAAGCCTAACGGCTGAGTGACATACTGATTAATGAGGGCAATATCCTTAAACAGGATAACAGAGAATGGAGAAACTGCAAGGAACTTGGGGAAGGCATCTGAGTTCCCTGGCTTAATGAAAAAATAAAGTGAAAACATAATAGGTCAGAGCAACAGCTATGGGCATATCGACATTTCCGAAGGCAACCTTGTGAAAGGACATGGTGTTTACCAACTGCATCTCTGCTCCAAGATGTAGAGATGCACTTGAAGCATCAGTTAGCTGCAGGATCAAACAAGCGAAGGAATCACAGGGCTTCTGTAACCAGGGTCTGGGAACAGTTTTGTGGTTTTGGGCAAGTTCTTTAGTCCTGACTTTTTCAACTGTACATAAAGACACTGATATCTATTTCAGAGTAATAAGTTAAGGTCAAGCACATCATACTTGAAACACAACAGGCTGTTAACAAATGTTGTTTCTGACCCCACCCCACCCCCCAACAGTCAGGTTGCCATCAGGGATGGACTTACAGGACTCTAGGTAATAGTCACTCAACCACTTATCACCTAGTACGAGCCACATGCTGTGCTGGGCAATGGGAACCCAAGAAGTTGAGAGGGCAGGTACCCAACGTGTCAATCTCTTCCCTGCTGAACCCCAGCCACAGATCTGCTGGCTGCTTCTGCCCTGAACACAGGGTGCATCCTACCAGTGGTTCTTCAGACCCCAACGAATGGCTCACCCTCTCCCCAGCCCCCAGTTGCCTCCCTTTGAATCTTCATGTTCTAGTCCAAAAGCTGCTTCCTCAGACCGTTTTGAGGTGATGGAAATGTTCCCAATTTCGTCAAAATGTACTCTTTAGCTGAGAAATTCACGTTCTGTAAGTTGGACTTCCATGAAGCTGTCAGCCCTGTTCTTTTTAAAAATCATCCCCTCGGCGGCTTCCCTAATTTAACATTTCCAACTTTCTGCCACACCCCCTTGTTTTAGTGGCGGCGCCCGGTAGCGATTTGCGTTTTCTGGTTTTTGGTCCGTCCCGAGCTCCAGGAGCGCACGCAGCTGCCTGGGTCCTTCCCCGGGGAGTGCAAACGCACACGCTGGGGGAAACGCGCGGCAGGGAAGACCAAGGAACAGACCTGCTTCCGACAGCGGCAAGGGCGACGAAGCAACCTGCGAGGGAGGCCTATGTGCAGAGGACCGGTCAGGAGAGCTTCTGCTAAGAGGCGACGTGTGCCTGATGGAAGGAAAAGGCGACAACGCTGTCATTAACCCCGGGAGACCCTCCCCGGGGCCTCAGTTTCCCTACAAGGGCAACGACGAGACCAGGCCCTAGGCGACCCCCGAGGACCCCTCCGGCCCGGCCGAGCTTCGCAGAGCCTCTGCCCAAGCTCGGCCAACAGGCGGCTCGCGCCGCGGCCTTGCAGCCAGGCGCACCCCTCAGGGGACTCCGGCCTCCGCGGGCTGCGAGGCGCTGCAACGGACGGCTCGGGGCCTACCTGAGAGTCGCCGCGGCGAGCAGCCGGGGGCGGGCAGCGGGTGGACCCGAGGAGCCTGCAGACCTGCTCTGGCGCGGAGGAGCACTGGCGAGGTAGCCCGGGCAGAAACACAGGGAGCCCGATTGGTGGTAGAAACAGCCCCAATTACCGCGGAAAGACAGCGCATGCGTTCCGGAGACACTTCCGGTTTCTCCCGGAAAGCGCTGAGGAAATCGGCTCCTCCTTCCGGGGCGGTGGCTCAAGCGCAAAAGCGTCGTTGACGTCGAGAGGAAGTACTTACATCGGCAGTTTGCGAATTGGCGGTAAATTGGCGGAGCGCGGCATGTTGCCAAGCAACCGATTTTGTAAATTGGCCGACCAGGCTAGTGGAAGGTAGTTAACTCTCCGCTTGTGAATTAATTCTCGTATTTGTCGTGATTAAAAGTCTAAAAAAAAGCAAAGGTCTGATTACTGCCAGCTAATGTCCAGGGCCTTGCTGGGGAGACCCCCTGCGCGGATCCTCTCCGCCCTCGGGGGATAACCGGGCCTGGAGTCCAGGTTCTTGGTTAGGTTGCCGGTGCGATGTCACGCGAAGGCTCCTGCCACCGGTAACGCTCGGTGGAAACGTCAAGGCGTCGGGAGACGAGGTGACTGCGGGTTTAGGCGAGGGTCCTGCCGTCGGCATGGGGTGAGCCTCGCGGACGCAGAGCGGTAAGCGGCCGACTGCTTGAGGCCAGGCTGCTGGTGTGGCGGGCGTCCAGGCGGAGGGAGCCTCGTTATCATGCCGACCGACGCCGGCGGTCTAGCATACTTGGCCGTGACCTCAGTTTGCTTGCTTTCTGAAAGGTCACATGACAAGTTTCAGCTTGGTGACTCGGTTTTTGACTCCGTCCGTCTGCTCTGCCGGCCCAGTGCAGGAGTTCAGTTCCAAAGAGGGGCCACCTTGAGCTGAATTAAGAAGGAGCTGTGGGTCCTTTGGACCCGTGTCCACTGTGCCCACTCAGAGAAGCACGGGACCTTCGGCCGAGTTCACTGCTCGGCCTGGTCTGCATGCCGTGACCGCCTCAAGCATCCTCGGGATCCGTGGGATCTTGGTGTACGCGCAGATTCCGTCGGAGAGCCCACATTTTGTGCCAGAAACTGAGATTAGACTGCAGTTTTCCCAGCCACAGGGCAGGGGTAGAGGTGGAACTGGACAGCTGGCGGGCTGCTCCCACACCTGACTACTTACAGATGACAAAATGCTGGCGGCTCACTTTTCCCCTAGAAGGGAAGATCTATAAAATTTGTATCCATGGACTATATAGGCGAAAATAATTTTAAAGCAAAATAATTAAAATTAAATTTTTATTGTGGTCATCATTCACATTGGCAGACTTTTCTGCCGTTTTTACACAGGTGGATATTTATGAATGATAGTTTATACTCTGTTTTTAGATGAATAGAAACTGAGTATGTTTGTAATTTTAGAATAAATTATTTACATTTTAAATTATATAATTTTGAAATTTTAATTAAAAAGTTCTAATATTTTGGCTTAAGATTTCTAAACACCTTGTTTGCAAAGTGTACACACTGAGTGTTATCTGTACCAGGAATTGGGACATTCAAAGCGGTTTCCTGTCAAGAAGTACTCAACAAGTAATTCCTTGTGATTTTCCTCAATCTCTATTTTTGTGTTTCAGATTGTTCCACTCTGTTTCTTTTAAAAAAAAATGACTTGAAAATATTTTAAAGGAATTTCTACCCAAAATAGTGGAAGGATGAGAGAAAATGAGCTTCTGCCAGCAGAGGGCAACCTTGGCTTGTTTGGGGGGTTTTGTGACCTTAGGACACCAGGGAATGGTGAACCCAAGTCTACCTAGCAAACCAAAGTGAGAGTTGCTCAATATTTTACTACAAAAACATCCCGTTGAAGATGCTTTTAGTGTACATGTACATATGGCTTAGTTTTGAGAGCACCTGTTCTCTTCAATAGCACTGAACAGATACCTACATCGTTTAAATTTTCTCAGAAAATGGGTATTACAAACAGCTTCTTTTTTACAAGGATCTTTATGAGCACTTGAGAAAAAAAAAAAAAGACCGGACATCTTTTTGTTGTACTAGTTTACTGCTCACTTAAAAAAAAAGTGAGTAGATTTCTTATCTGAACTGAAATATATCTGAAAATCATTTTCAAATGTTAATAATATTGTATATTTAATATACAATGTATTTAATAATATTGTATATTTGTCACTCCCATTTTTGACAGCGTATCCTAACGCAGATATTTTGTGAGTTAAATAGATTTCTAACTTAGTAATTTCCTCCTTTAAATCTGTCAAAATTCAGCGACATTATTACATGTTAAGGTATTAGGTATGGTATAAATTCAAAGAAAAACTTTGAAATTTATAATAATATGCTTAAAATTTTTAATAGTCTCTCAAGCAAGTCAAATTAACAGCATACCAGAAATGCTCTCAAAATGAAATGTCTGATATTCAGGTGTCCAGGGAATATAAAATATTTGTTAATGTGATACACATGTCCTCAGGGGGACCTTAGTTTGGCATACAACAATAAGAATCACAGACCTTCACCTAGAGGGTGCATGCCAGGACAAATGTGAAGCACTTTACATGTACCAGAGTAGTGGTATCCAGACTCTCATGTTTAAGTCTAGACTATATTAATCTTTTTTTTTTTTCAGGGAGCGGTATTGGGGATTGAACTCAGGGCACTCTACCACTGAGCCACATCCCCAGCCCTATTTCGTGTTTTATTTGGAGACAGGTTCTCTGAGATGCTCAGCACCTCGCTTTTGGCTTTGAACTTGCGATCCTCCTGCTTCAGCCTCCCGAGCTGCAGGGATTACAGGCATGTGCCACCACGCCCAGTGTCTATTACTTATTAATTATATGACCCTAGGAAAGTTATTTAAACTCTGTTCCTTTATTTTCTCATCTGTAAATGGGGATGATAATAAAAAGTACCTGCTCCTAGGGGTGTAAGTATGAAATGAGTTATTGTTTGCAAAGCACATAGAAAAATACCTGGCACATACCAAGTGCCAGCAAAGTATTTTTAAATTGTTATCACTTGCTTAACCCTTACTCCAGCCTTTTAGGCAGGCCATCCCGTAGCCCGTGCAGTCACACAGAAGGGTGACTAAGAAGGGTCCTGTGTTTGGTTTAATTCCCTATGCTATTTTCTTGAGATTCTTAACTTTAGAACAAGGGTTCCCACTTACAATTTGCCTTTGGCCTGCATATTCTGTACCTCGTGCTGCTCTTGAGGTGGATGGTATTGTTGTCCCCTAGTGTGACTGTAGCTTTGGACAAGTAACATCTTTTGTGCTGTCACCTATAAACCCTGGTGTAATTGCTGAGTAATCACAGGGTTCTTTGGAGAATGAAATGAGATCATGTGTGAGCAGTGACTGGCACATCTTAAGACTTCAGAAATGCTATCTATTATTACCATTTATCTTTATAAACCAACCCAACATTTATGTACTGATATAAATACATATTCTTGCTTGATTTCACTAGCAATGTTTGGTGCGGCTAATGATCTACTGAAAGTACAGAATATCATAAAACTCATGTATATCAAAATTAAGGTAAATTTATAAAGGGAAAAGATCACATTATTACTGTTGGAGAAGCACCTATTAAAATTTGAAGCTTCTGTAAATCTTAAAACTGAAGAAGTTCTTTGTTTTATTGATCTAAACTAAAGAATAATGGACTTGAATTGGGGCAATAATGAACAACCCCTGGAGAAAAATTTTCTAATAATACAGTCGATAAAAAAGTAGGCCCCAAACAAAGTAAAGCAAAGCATGGAGGACTACATCAATCCAAGTATTATTTTGGGGTAAATATTACTAGTTTTACAAGTAAATTAATTCTTGAGGACAAAAGAGTAAATTAATTTACAAGTAAGTTAATTCTTGAAGGCAAAAGAGAATGTAAAAGAAACTACCAGATGCTATAATTTCTTTGCAACGTTTCATGTTGACTATTGTTATTTTTGTTACTAATAAAATCCCATATGTCTTACATTAGTTATATTGTAGAAGACAAATATTTCAGACTTTTATTCAAATAAAACATTTTTTCCAAATAAAATTTAAAAGTCAAAATCATATTCTTTTATAATTTAGAAGATAGGATAAAAATCAGTCTACATAAAATCTTTTATTTTTTAAATTTTTATTAGTTATTGATGGACTTTTATTTGTTTATATGTGGTGCTGAGAATTGAACTCAGTGCCTCACACATGTAGGCAAGCACTCTACCACCAAGCCACAACCCACAGCCCTACATAAAATCTTTTAGAGAAAATTAGAATATAGCACTTATTTTGACAAAACATATAATTAATGGAAATTATTGGCCTTTACCTTTACGGAACTACAAATACATATTCTTCCCACAACAGTATTTGCCAGTTAAACTAATGAAGGGCCTCTGGAAAACAGATTCTTCCATCCTCCACGTGTGCTTTTATATCCATCCTCCAAATTTTAACTTGTTGGGTAAGTACACTCTGGAAAGGTAATCTGACGACAGGGAGGTTAAAGCTTGGATTTCTGCCTTCATTTTGGATTCTGCCATTATTTCCATCTGCCAATAAGA